CGGGGCCCCGCGCTGGGCCTGCCCCGACGCGCCCCTGCCACCGAGACTCCCGCAGGGACCGTCCGGCGGGTGCACCTCAGCCGGGCACCTGGCTGCAAGCAAAAACGCACGGCACAAACTCGGTCCTGTTCAGGATTTGACCCCCCGGTACAGCAGCAGCTTGCAAGAACCAGCCCAGGCTGGAAACGCTCTTTGCAGGCGGTCCAGCCCCAGCTGGAGGTGCTTCTCGAGCCACCACGCGTGGCTGCAGCCGGGAAGGGGACGCAGGCTGGGCACCCCAGTAAGGGACCCTGTCGCACCACCGACCTGGCAGGCATCGCTCACGGAGGGGGCTGCAACATCCTGGTCTGGTCCAGTGGAAAAACCTGCTTCGCTTTTCTCTCTCATTTTCTGGTTTGTGCTGTTAGGATGAATTGGGGGGAGGGGGGCGGTTTAAAATCTTCCAGGAAGATTTTTCCAAAATCCTTTTTCCCAAATCCTTTTGCTCCGGGAGAAAACGTCGTGGCCCAGATAAGACCCAGAGCTTCCAGGACAGATGGTTACAAAGCAGCAACAGTCATCACACAAACAGAAAAATGAAAATAAAGGAAAGTACAGATACTGCATTTTAATCGGGGCAACACTGACAGGGACAAATGACAGGTCGTGGAGGGACACCATGCAGTCACCGGCGCCCGGCCCCTCGCCTCTGCCTATCGCCGCGCTTTGGCTTTCCTCCCCAGACGTCACAGCTGCAACAGTCTTTATTTCAGCAGCATATCGAAAAACTGAGGATAGCAACAAATCAGGGCTCGTGGTTTGTTTGTTTTTAATAACGACCAGATCTATAAAGAAGATTGGAATGAGCCATTTGGTGGCGTAAACCCAATGCTCCACAGCAGCGGTCCACGGCCCGCTCCTCGCGCCCCTGCTTTTCGGTGGGCACCGCAAAACTCACTGAAAACCGCGAGCCCGGCACCCTTCACGCACGGGCATCGCGTCACTCTCCGGCGTGGGCAGGGCCCACCCAGATCGCCTTA